CCAGATGGTGACCCCTCTTCCCACCCCCCCCCCCTTCCAACTTTCTCTGCGTCTCTCCTTCTTTCTGCCTCTCTCGACTTCTCTACACAAGTGACGTCACTCATTATGACCAGGGGACACTCACCTAGCTGCCTGTAAAACACAGATGTCTGTGCGAATGGTCCAGATATGTTTCTTCGTCTCTTCTCTTCATCCTCTCTCTCTCTCTCAATCAGTCTCTCGCTGTGTGGTGTCTTTGCATGCGTTTTATTCTTTTCCAGGCCCATTTCATTTTTTCTTACGATTTTAAAACTCAAAATTCTCAAAATATAGGCTTATTTAGACTGATTTTGAAGCTCTTTTCTTGCCAAACTCAAATCTGAAAAAAAATCAAAATTGGTCAACTTTCAGTCGAGTTATCCCCATTTTTCAAGCCGAATCTCAATTCGGCAACATGGCACGTTGCCAAGATTCAAACAGATGGTGGAGACACCCCCCATTTCTCTGCGTCTCTTCTTCCTTCACACTCTATCGCTTTTCCTTCCTCCTAGGAAGGCTAATAACCTTCTAAAAAGGGGTCCTTGGTTAGTCTCTCTATACTGTCCTCCCAGACGACGTACCTCTCTTTTTTCTCGGTTTTTCTTAAGTGTTCTGTTCAGATTACTGTAGTTTTCTTTTTCTTACCACTATTTTTTGATCTAGAATACCCCAACAATGCTTATTTTGGCGTCGAAAATCAAAAAAACCCAAAAATATGAAGAAAACCGATTTAGGATCCAGATGTCCCAATTTTCACCAGAAACATTTTTTGATTTATTGATTTTCTGGCTGAATGGAATTTGAGGATTTCAAAAATGCAATCTAAATTCTGCTAGCTTTCTTGCAAACTGAGTTATGAGCCTTAAAGATAGGAGAGGAGCTTTTTGGAGTACATTTTTTGGGTGGAGTCTAATTTAAAGTTTCTAAAGTGGAATCTAGCTAAATTATATATAGTTTTGTAGAAAATTTTAAGTTCTATATTTGGGTTTTTGAATTTTGGAAAAAATTCAATTTTGAAGGAAGTTATGGTCCTTTAAGGGACAGTAACCCCGGAATAGTCGAAGCTAGTTTAGCACCTATTTTTAATGACTTCTAATCCGAATTCATAATTTTTGAGTTTTGTCAAAATTTATATCACTTTGAAGAGAATTTCAAGAGCTATTTGATATTTTCTGAATCATTTGAAAACTTTGATTTTTAAGAAAGTTATGGCCCTTTTTGCGGCAGCTCTCAAACTTCTAAATTTCCTGAACATTATAACTCGTTTCTGGTGGAACATTAGAGCAATTTTGATAACAAATTCGGAATCAGCGTAGTTGAATTAGTCTAGAAACACTTAGATTACATTTTAGCTCTAAAAACCGCGATTTTCCAGTGGTGGCCTAACTTTTGCAAAACCTCGGCCACCACTCCCAAAATGGCTCTGGGCCCCTAAAAACTTAAGAAAACGATTTTGAAGTGCTGAAATTCAATTTCAGCATGAAAAACCACTTCAAAATCTGCGTTTTTAGCGATTTTGAAGTGATGGCCTAACTTTTTGAAAACCTCGGCCACGACCCCAAAAATTATCCTAAACCTTTTCGAATGTCAAAAACAATCAAAATAGTTTAAAAACGCTATCTGAGCACCAAAAAAACCTGAAAAATTACTCTGGGGATGTTTTCTGATGGTGGCCTAACTTTTTCAAAACCTCGGCCACGTCCCTAAAATCCACACTGGACCTTCTAGAATGTCAAAAACGACCAAAATAGTTTAGAAAAGCTATCTGAGCTGCAAGAAAAACCTTAAAAATGGCTCTAGGGCTGTTTTCTGATAGTGGCCTAACTTTTACCAAAACTCTTCCATTGGTACAACTCCCCTATTTTGAAGGTTTCCGCTGCGGAAAAAAAGTGTCTAGGGGTAGTTTTTAATGAGGAATTCGAATTTTAAGTTGGAATCTTTCAAAAACGAGTAGGAACTTTGGAAAATTGAGTTTTCCACTTAAAACCCGTTATTTTCTCGTTCAACATCCTATTTTCCCTCAAAATCGCTCGTTTTTCTTCATTTTTCCTGTCTTCTAGATCAAATGTTTTCAAAAATTGTTTCAGACCATGTCCCAACTGATTCCAAAGTTCTCAAAAGGAGAGAATGTCGTGTGTGTCTCCAAAGGCACCCCCTACAAAGCAAAAGTGATCAATATCACCACAAAACATGGAGCAGAATGCTATATTGTGCATTTTGACGGCTGGAATTCCAGATATGACGTGGCAATTGAAATAGGCAGTGAGAATGGAGAGCTATTCAAAGGGACCGTGGAGGAGTACCAAGCAAAAATGGGCGGAGCTTCCATCCCATCGACTTCTGGAGTAGCTGTTGTCAAGGCTGCAAAGACTACAAAGACTACAAAGACTACAAAGACTACAAAGACTACAAAGACTACAAAGACTACAAAAGTGCCAAAAACCTCGAAAACCACGATTTCCAAAAAGAAGTCAGCCAAAAAGGTCCAAAAGGTGGTCGCCAATAAAGCTGAGCAATCCGATGGCTCTGATGAATTCTAATTCATTTTTATTCTCTGAAATATATATGAAATCATTATTTCTGTTGATTCTTTGTTACTTTTTTTCAGAAAAATCGAAAAATTTTGTTTTTGAAAAATCAAATTTTTTCAAAAAAATTCAAAAATCGAAAACGGGCTCATAATGCTCTAAAAACAAGTAAAAAACAAGTAAAAACAAGTAAAAACAAGTAAAATTTCTGAATTTCTGAATTTCGGAATTTCGGAATTTCTGAATTTCTGAATTTCTGAGATTCTAAGATTCTGAAATTCTGAATTTCTGAGATTCTGAGATTCTAAGATTCTGAAATTCTCAGATTTTGAAATTCTGAAATTCTGAATTTCTGAGATTCTGAGATTCTAAAGTTCTGAAATTCTGTGATTCTGAAATTCTGAGATTTTGAAATTCTGAAATTCTGAATTTCTGAGATTCTGAGATTCTAAGATTCTGAAATTCTCATATTCTGAAATTCTGAAATTCTGAGATTCTGAGATTCTAAGATTCTGAAATTCTGAATTTCTGAGATTCTGAGATTCTAAAGTTCTGAAATTCTGAATTTCTGAGATTCTGAGATTCTAAGATTCTGAAATTCTGAATTTCTGAGATTCTGAGATTCTAAGATTCTGAAATTCTCATATTCTGAAATTCTGAAATTCTGAGATTCTGAGATTCTAAGATTCTGAAATTCTGAATTTCTGAGATTCTGAGATTCTAAGATTCTGAAATTCTCAGATTCTGAAATTCTAAAATTCTGAAATTCTGAGATTCTGAAATTCTGAGATTCTGAAATTCTGAGATTCTGACATTCTGAGATTCTAAAATTCTGAAATTCTGAGATTCTGAGATTCTAAGATTTTGAAATTCTG